GGTGTCCATAGATAATAGATGCAAAATGAACAATAAAATGAATTTTGCAGTTGAGCTATAGCTGAATACAGTACACTGCTTCCAGTGTTTCTCCAACCCCTGTGATTAATATCAACAAACCCTTACCTAGCACTCTGTGCCTTTGACGTATATTAACTCATTTAATTCTCTAACAACCTTATAGGTAGATCTATTATTATCTCCCATTTTGTAGAGGAGGGGACTGAGGCAGGTGACAGTTAAGCAGCCAGCTCAGGGGCTGGGGCACCTCCTGGCCCTCGATTACCATCAGGCAGAGATCCAAGGGGAGGTGCTGGTCTTGACCAATGATGGGCATTGATTTCGAAGAGGAGGTGGCCTTGGCCAGAGCTGGGCTTGTTTGTCCCTGGGTGGAGCAGGCTTAGCCCGGGCAGCCTGTGCTGCTGCCATCATCCTGGGCTGTTTACAGCTACCTGGGACTGAACAGTGTTTATTTTAAAAGGAGAATGTCTGGGCTTCACCACTGATTCCACTGGCTCATCTTCCACAATAGGGAGGCCATGGAAGGGTTTTTGTGTTGGTCCAAGCGACCTTCACACTCACAACGAGGGCAAAAATGGTCAGAGTGAGAAGAGATTATGAGAAAAACAGTTCAGGTTTTATGAATTTATGCCCTGTCTTTGAGCAAAAAAAAAAAAAAAAAAAAGACTTAAGATCCAATAAGATGGCAGATATTCAAATTGTGTTAAAAGAAGAAATGAGCAAGGGTAGGGTCATGAAACAGAGGCAGGGATTAGATTGCGACAGCACTGCAAGGAACCTTATACAGGTTTGGCTCTGAGCTTTCCTGAAGCCAAACCAGACAAGGAACCCTGAGCGGTTCTCCTGGCCTCCGAGTCTATGCCAGTACAAGCCTGCAGAGCGGGTGGGTACTGGAGCCGGTTGCAGGCTGCACCGACGCCGTGCTGCCCTGAAAATGTCACAACAGACAAGGACCATAAGTCTTTGTCCAGGCACGTTGTCCGCGTGGCATCATTTTCTCAGGGCTTTGGTGTATGTGCAGTGAGACTGCTCACCAGTGTAGAGAATACACACTCATCTCCAGTTGACATTTCCAGGTTGCTATGCGCTTTAATCTTACTTTCTTTTTGCCGCTGGGTAAGTCATGGTCCTTGTTTCTAGCAAGTGTCCGTTTTGCCAGTGTCCCGTCTGGGGTGAGCAGTGCTAGAAATAGCTATTGCTGTGGTTCTTGTGGGAGGGTGATTAAATCCTCATACACTTTGATTTCAGACCTCATCTAGGTTCCCCTATGTGAGTGGTCTCCTTGTACAATACTGATAATAATACCTTGTCTTTGTACATAACGTTAGAGATTACAAAGCATTTTTACATGCATCATTTACATTTTAAAAACATTCCTGTGAAGTAAATTGTTGGTCTTGTCTCATGCTTGGGAAAACCAAATCATAATAAAACAGGGATCAGGAGCAAAGAGATGACACTGGGGCCTTTTTAGTCTTGGACCAGCATGCGGTGCTGTCTGAGAATGACAGCTTTGGTTTTTTGGATTTTTTTTTTTAATAATGTGCTACTGCATAGTGCTATTGATGCTTTTTTGTAGTAGTTGTTTTTGAGTGATAGCAAAGTTGAGAACACAAGTCCCATGATGGATGGATGTCTGGTGCTCCTCATCTGTTCAGCATCTACCCTGAGCTAGGGTGGTCCCTGCCTTCCACGCCCCTGCTCGTCAGATGTCAGGATGCAGAGTCAGAGGATCCGACGGGAGCAGCTGGCCGAGCATTGAGTATCTGTGGGAAGGTTCTTCTGCAGGAGCTGGCTACCTCCTGCTCTCTGAAGGCTCCAGAGGGGAAGTGAAGTGTCCAGGGGCCCAAGGCACAGGGAGCCCTGGGAGGGAGCCTGGGCCGCAGACTCCTCATCCAGCACCCTTTGCTGCGAACCCAGACTCACCTACTCCTCTCCTAGACAGACTCAGGACAGCAATGTGGGCCGAGCCCAGAACAGAGAGCAGGTGTGGTGAAGAAGGGCACTTAGCTATCCCGGGACCGTCTCTAGGGCCACAAAAAGGTGGAAACCATGTCTATGTAGATAACTTCCTGGTGGAGTTTGCAGCAACCACGTGATGTGCATTTTTGCGTGAAAAAGTCTTAAGATCATGAATTAGAGCTAGCGCCTGCTCCTCTGCCCCCTCCCAGCAGACCGGTCTGGAGACTGGACCTGCTGCGCCAGCCCCTCTTCCATCCTCTTCTGGACCTGCTACTCCGGGCAGGCGCTGCTCCACCCCTCCATGAGACCCCTCCAACTGGCTGGATTCAGTTGTTTCTTGGTGGCGTCTCACCTGCCCTGTGAACGGCAGTCAGCACAGCTGGTCCCTCCCTTCTGTCCGATGCACTTTCTTCCAGCCTCCACCGTCTGTCTGCTCTCCCCTTCACCTGCCCCTGCTCCTCTTCCCGATTCAGAATGTTGTTCCCAGGCCAGGACTCTCTCTTTGTCTGTCTTCCTCACTCCCTAGACAGTCTTTCTAGGCCCTCCTGCCCAGTCGTATCTCCAGCTTTGCGTGTGACTCTCTGCTCCACCTCCCCCCGAATACATCCCAAAGAAACTCACCCCCAAATCTTTGTCCCCCCATATCTGTGTCTCCAGCAGCCTTCATTTTCCCAGTGGTTTTGGAAAGATTTTCCACCTCTCCTTCCTGTCTGCCTCAGAGCATCACTCCTGTCACCTTGTTGACCCAGTGCCTCCCCACTTTTCCTGCCCTGCTCCCCAGTGTGTCTCCTGCTTCTTCCTGAGCTCTAGTATTGGGTCCTGCTGCCACATCTGGCTCTTGGGCCCGTGTCCTGGCTCTGTCTTGGCCTTCCGTGGAATCTCTCTCTGCATGCTTAGAAGGACCATTCGTTTGCTCTTCAGAAAGCCCAATCTTTAGCCTGGGAAGGGCAGCCTTCACGCAGAGGAGATTAAGCACCATCTCCTGTCCAGTGCACCCCCTAAACAGCATCCATACCTACATGCAGATCTGTGGCCTTCCTCACTGACTGTTAACACCAGCCATCCGTTATCCCCAGCCCCAGGGGACAGATTAACCATGGAGTAATCTGCATCACAGCAAATTAGTCCATTTATCTCTGGAGTTTAAATTTTATTTCCCCAATTGGGGAGTTCCTTGGCTAAATACGCCTATAAAAAGAGGGGTGGCAGTAGCATTCACACATGGTTTCAAAAGTCCTTGATGTTACAGGTGGAAAATTCCTGAATATTTTGAATTCCTCTGCCATGTCAGCAGTCCAGCCACTGCCCAGTCTATAGTAAATTAATTCAGTTTTGGGCAGATTCTCAGTAAACACTGCTATGGTTTGTTGAGGAGTGTATCTTGACATTTCTCAAATAGGAAATATTTTTACATTTTTGCAGGCAAAATTCATTCGGAATGCAAGCATGGGTCAGAATGGCTTTATGGCTGGGTGGCTTGAAAGGTTGCTTCATGGGGATAAACCCTGCCCTCAGACACTAGAGCATCTGTTGGAAAATGTACTCTATACCCAAGTGACCCAGCCACCTGTTGTCAAGAAGCCAACAGCAGAGCATGCTGAGAAGCCAAGGCCTGGAGGCCCCACTCTAGCATCTGGGCCCAGGCAGCCTGCTGTCCCCTTGGCCTTTTGGCCACCTCATTGCTTCTTGGCACTTGCCTTGTTCAGTGGGCAGGAGGCACAGAGGAGGCCGGGGCCCAGGCTCGCTACCTGTAGGCGCTCTAATAAAAGAAAGAGTGTGAGTGTGAGATGCCCATGGATTTATGTCATCTGTGCTACGCTAGGATTCTTCTTGTTACTCACTATAAAGGGCCTTGTTTTGTTTGCTATGATGGTACCCAGCCAGTTAAGTCTGAGTTGGTTCTTCAGGTACAGGGAAAAAGCATTTGTGATACAGGTTTCTTTCTGTCTCCATCTCATGCCTAAGGCAGCCTACGTGTGGTAGAGGATGTCTTGGATGTGGGGGGTGGGGGGCAGTTAAGTTTCTGGCCATGGAATAGAGCAGGTACTGGAAACAGACCATAAGCCACCAACTCGAAGGAAATGCACTAAACTGTTGGATGTACATTTTAAAAAGAAGGCATTTATGAGATAACTCAAACTCAGCCTAAACCTGTATATTTCCCAAAACCATTGAACTAGACAAGCGAAATGTCCCACTGGTTTGTCTGAACGAGATCAGAACTGGGTTGGCATTGTGTGCACTTGGAGCTCCTGAAAATGTAAAGCTACATGGCATGCTTGGCATTTCACGTCGGCCAGTCTGGCCTCGTTAGTGATGGCTATGCATTGGCCTTGCATCCATCTTCCCCCAGTATTCTATTTTCTGAACCATGCAGGGCTGGTATTATTATAGATGCTTTGTGGAGACATTGAGGCACACAGTGCCATGTGACTTGCTCAGATTGACACAGGCTCTTAGTGATGGAGCTGGGCCCAGAAGTCTCGTCTTCTGGTAGGTGGGTGGTGGAGCTCTTGTCGTGAGGAACACCTGAGAGGGCACCCCTGATTCTTCCCTGTCCCCCCAGGAGCTGGTGGGGAGGGACCCAGGGGCACTGAGGCTGCTGACAGCCGTGGACACCCAGGGCTCTCTGCCCCTGGCCTTGAGGATGTTAACTAGGGAAACTCTGCTCCTGAGGACGCCTTCAGGGAGCCCCAAGTTGGAGGACTGTTGAGAGGGAGGCTTGGTAAACATCTACAGTTCCTGCCTCCTAAGGGATTCTCCTTGTCACCCTGTGGTAATGACCCTGAGACCATATGCTGCTGTCATCCATCTTTAAATTTTTCAAAAGTGATTTTTAATCTTTGTTTTGTAGCTGCAGTAGACTCTCAAAGTGCTGTTTTATTCTCTCGATCTTTAAAGTTGATTTGAGAGTCCAGTGTTTCTTCGTCAAGATGAATGACTATCGTGAACATCGGAGTTTATCTCTTTGTGTTTTTCAGACGTTCTAAGTGAGACCTTCGAAATCATCTAGCAAAATGGTGGCCCTGTCCTTGAAGATTTGTGTGCGCCACTGCAACGTGGTGAAGACCATGCAATTCGAGCCATCGACGGCAGTGTACGACGCGTGTCGAGTCATTCGGGAGCGGGTGCCCGAGGCGCAAACCGGGCAAGGTAGGTCACCGCTGACTTACTGGCTTCTGAAGGTGTGTGTGTACCTTCTTCACTTTGCGGCTAGAGAAACGGAGGCTCTGAGGGGTGCACAAGCCCCCTAGCATGCATATTATAAGCAAAATGTCGTCTTGGACCTGCTCACTTCCTGTGTGAGACTCGGGACAATAGTGACCACACCTGCTGCCGAATCGTCGTCATCTTCACCCCTCTGGACGTCAGAACTGCACTCTGCAGTGTCCAAGTCACTTCAGAGCAAACGAAGCTGCCCTGACACTTACTGCTTGTGCACATCCTAAGCCCTGTTCCCGGGCGTGAACACTTCCCACTGCCTTCAGCACAAGTCTTATGTTTCAAGTCCTTTGAAGGGGCCTTATAAATTTTATCTCAAACCCTAAAAGACATTTGTGATATATGTTTTGTTTGATGTTTGGTTAAACCACTGACCCTATTCGCCTGAGCGTAAACAGAAGGCATTCATACAATTTCATTTCCTCTTTCCCTTTGTCTTCCTTCCGTGTGTCCTTCCCTTACTTAGTGTTTGACTGACGGTTGAGTCATTGGATCCCTCAAATGGATAAGGCTTTAGTGTGAGAGTGGGATAAAACGTATCTGAAAAATTGGAAGAGTAAAAATTAAAAAATCAAACATCGCATCGAGGGTAATTATAAGTAAGATGGGTCTTCTTGTAAAGATCTATACTACTTTTCACAAAACTCTTTGATCTTTTGTTCTAAAAGCATTATTTATGTTATTCAAAACACTGTATTATTTCTAGATTACCCAAAAATAAAAATAAAGTTCGCTTATATCCCCAACCTTACTCTGATTTGGTTGTTAATCATTTGGTTGCTTTATTGTTATATTCCTCTTATTTTTGAATGTTTTATAGTTTGCTTTTATTTATTATTTATTTTATTTCAAAATATTAAGGGGGTATACCTGCTTTTGTTACTTTGAAACCTTGCTGTTTCTTTTTTATTCTTTTTTTTCCTCTTGGGTTTTTATTTCTTCGGTCTGGATTGTTATACAGCTCCTGTGAAGGTAGACACCTTTAAAGGTCTTAAAGTTGTTTCTGTGAGTAACAGCAGAAGCTCTGGCCCTCCTCTGGGTCTCTGAGCAGGAAGAAAGAAGCCTTTGGGTAGAAAATGAGACTGCTCCCCCAGTCCCTCCCCCCTTGTATCTCCCAGGCCAGATTCAAGGTTTCCTATGGAAAGCACCAAGTTTAACTTCCTAGAGTTTTCATAATCTGGTGGTAGTGGGGGGCAGAGGCTTCATCTCAGGAGGAGCTCCTACCCCTCTTTTATAATGCTGTCTTGGGATGACGGGGGACCATTCAAGATGTCAGGGCTTACCTGTGCCCCTTCGAGTGGCCTTGGACTTGGGTGGTCACTTCCTTAGTTTCTGCATGACTGTCTTCTCATTCTCCGTGGGTACTCAGCCTGGTTTTTTTTACAGCAAGGGTTAAGGAACAAACTCAAATTCAGTTAGAAAGAAATTTGGACTGCTTTGTTCTTGGTGTTTCCCTCAATTTTAGGCACAGCTGCAGCCCACTGGTGTTAGGAAGCACGAGCCTCGTTCGTGGGTGTTGCTTCTGCGACTCAACTCTTCCTCCTCCAGGTCTGCTTTGGCCCAGCAGCTGCTTGTGTTGTCAAAACGAAACGTTTCCCACTGCCTGAGCAGAGCACCCCGCTCCTCGCCGAGTCAGCAGGCTCAGCGCTGGGAGTCAGCGATGGCTTTGTCACCGCCTTGTCTTGTATTTTCCTTTCTGTTTGTGTTCCAGCTTCCGACTATGGGCTGTTTCTTTCGGATGAAGACCCTAGGAAAGGGATTTGGCTGGAGGCGGGCAGAACACTGGATTACTACATGTTGCGAAACGGGGTATGCTGCTCATCCTGTGTTTTGGGTTTTCATTGCTTTGTCCCTGGGCCTTCCATAGAAGCCAACGTTATCTCACCATTTTGATTCAAGGGCATAATAGTAGTAGTTTCGATGTAATGAGCTTTGTAAGGGCTGTCCAGGTGGTAGTAGAAAATGTCAGCAATCGAAATTCTTGCGATTGCACAGACGGATTGAAGCAGTTTGAGTTAGTGTGTGAAGCGGTTTCTACATGCCATTGTTGGACTTGGTAGGTGTGAGATGCCAGATAGCGTCTGGCTGTAAGTGTGCAGAGGTGTCCCTGCGCCTGGGGACGGGGAGTAAGGACAGATTAGAGGGGATATGCAATGGGGTCCTAAAGGCAGTTGGAGACTGAATATTAATCACAGTGTTCTGGTTTTGTAAAAGAAACTTCAAATTAGAGATGTGAGTTTAATAATGATCAGTAATAGTAACAACAACAACAGCAATGGTTATATTATGGAAGTAAGAAGGGATAATGAGAAAAAATGGGTTAAACGTTCTGTTCAGCTTAACCTGCAAGATGCTGGGTATCTTGGTATGTTGGATGGAGTGGACCTATCAGATTGGTCCGTATCCTATAAAGTGAGAGTGAGATACATGATGCTGATTAATTTCCCTTCCATGGTTCTATTTTTAGAAAGTGTAGTAAACAAGAAGTCTCTTATTTAAAAATAAGTCACAAACTTTTTACCCCTGTTTGGTGTTGCCATTATTATTTCACTCCACTCTTGTGAATAAATACCACTACTACCGTGATACACCACTACTGGGAGGAATTATGGGGATATTATGCATGTATTTCATTATATATAATATAGTAAAATTTTTTAAATAAAATTTTAAAAATTGCTTTTTATTTTATGTGTATAGATAGTAAAAATTGCTTATGGCAATGTAAAAGATAATTAGAGACACATACTAATGTCTTTTTAAAAGGCAAGTAGTCATTTCCCTCCACTGATTCTCATTAGAGCAGATAATTCCCAGCCTTTCGGGAGGACGTACATTACTTTCATCTCACAAAGGGTAGTTTTCAGTAATTGTGAGCTATAAATATTACTTCTTGGGGTGCAATTTTACTATGGGATTTTAAAGAAATCTTTATGAAAGCAATTACTTAGCACTGGAGAGTCTGTATTACAGTAGTGGCAACAACCCTATGAAAACTTAGGAAGGTTTTCAAAGACTTTTTGGAAGAAAGAGGAAATCAGGGTCTTATGGGGAAAATTTGTTCTTTAAAGAAAAGCGTCCAGGTTTGTTATCTGTGTTCCCACTCGATGTGAAATGTGTGTGTGATTTGTGCTATAGGATATTTTGGAATATAAAAAGAAACAGAGACCTCAGAAAATCCGGATGCTGGATGGATCTGTGAAAACAGTGATGGTGGACGATTCCAAGACAGTGGGGGAACTCCTGGTGACTATTTGCAGCAGGATAGGTGAGCATTCACGTGCCTCTGTTGCGTTTTTTGCTTTGTTTTTAATTGCATGCCTGTTCTCTTTCCCACCCCCGTTTGGTGTCTGGGCAATTCTGAATGTGTCTTAACATACCGAGTTCTGCCTAATCCCAAGAGAGTATGTTCACTCTCCTGATTTGCCAAGCCACTAACCACGTGGGCTTCTCACTAAGTTACAAGTGAGAGCTTTCATTTCCCTTTCTAAAACAAGGGATTTTCACATTGAAAGTAATGTTTTTAAAATCGTGTAATTCGGTCTCCCACCCATTGCTGCATTCTATGAAAGCGTCACGGATGTGCCCTGTCTCCTTGAATACTAATGGCGATGGCCTTTATGATTGATTATTAGATTATTGATTGTCCTCTTGTGGCTTACATTAGTCCCCCCAGAGGTCTGCCTCCTTTCTACAGGGAAGCCTTGAAATATTTGCGGAAAACAGACTTGCCTGTCTTAGTTTTTTCTTCATGCAAAGGAAGCCCAGTTCCTTCAGACATTTCTTGGTTGACATTGTCTCGTCTTCCCCTGAATGATCCCTACTTTGTTGTTTCCGCAAAATTAGAAGAGAGAATTGAACGTGACATTTTGAATGTGACTTAACTAGCTGAAGGTCCTTTGTTTTATTGGTCATGGCTGCCTCCCTGGTCCTCACATTAGCAAGGCCTCTTTTTGTCCTTGCCACCATGCAGTCCCTGGGCTACCACAGACCCTAGGCTGAAAGGGGTGGATGGCTGTTCAGTCATTTAGAATCATAACCTAATTTCTCATTAGGAATAACGAATTATGAAGAATACTCTTTAATCCAAGAAACTATTGAAGAAAAGAAAGAGGAAGGGACGGGTACGCTCAAAAAAGACAGGACGCTGTTACGAGACGAGAGGAAAATGGAGAAGTTGAAGGCCAAGCTCCACACAGATGACGACCGTAAGTGTCTGAGAAGGAGGCGAGGTACAGGCACGAGGCTTCACCCAGCCTCTTGCTCCCCCTGTGCGTACGACTCAGGGCAGGTTTTTGTTTTCTTAATGCTGTAAGATAAAAACAACTGTAATACCATTCATGTCTGAAGCAATCGTCTCTTAATATCGAATATACAAAGCATGTTCACAGTTTCTTCATTATCGTCTGAAAGTGTTTTACTAGTTTGAACTGGGATCCAAATAAGGTTGGACAACATGTCACTTAACTCTTTCTTAACTAAGTAGGTTCCCTCTCCATCTGTTTTTTAATTGACAAATAATAATTATGTATATTCATGAGGTACAATGTAATGTTGTAATTTATGCAGAAAGATTCATTCAAGCTAATTTACGTATCTATCACCTCACTACCTTATTTTTTTGTAGTGAAAATGTTAAAAATATATCCTTTTAGCAATTTTGAAATATGTAATACATTATTATTAACTGGTCACCCTGTAGTGCAATAGTCCATCTCTTTTCTTCCTTGCAATTTTTTTGTGTGTGAAGAAACCAGATTGTTAGTCGTATAGCATTTCCTACAGTCTGGATATTGGTCATAGCATACCTGTGGTGTCATTTAACATGTTCCTTTGTCCCTTTTAATTCCTTAGATCTGAAGGCTTGATTAGATTTAAGTGTGTGTATATGTTTTAATAAAGACGCCTCCCTTAGTGGTGATGTGTACTTTGATCAGAGAATTGTTTCTGATTGTCTTCTTTGGGGGAATGCTATGTCCATAGATGACCATTTCCTAGACCCCATATGTCCTTAGGGATAAAAAAAAAATAGTAACATAATTCTATTATGAGAAAGTCATTTTCTACAGCTGCACAGTTATTAATAATATATGGAAAAGCCAGCACAGAATCTCATGTGCCCCTAAAGCCCAAGCTGGGTGCACCTTGCTGCCTGACCCTCCGCTGAGAGGATCTTAATTCATTGCACAGTCCACGTAGACATCCCAGCCTCCTTCTTTCTATACTCTAATTCTTGCTGCTACGTTGGGATGACGTCCTCATTGTCATCGTGTTTGTTGATCTTTGGTAGGGCTATCATTTCCTCTAACCCGTTCTCTGTTTTTTTTTTTCTTTCTACCTCGTTTGATTTCCAGTTATATACATCTTTCCAAGAGTTTAGTAGACAAATCCCAAGGATTTATTATTATGCACATGATGCTCTGTGTGCTGAAGTTGCTTAAAATCTGGTGAGGCTGGTGAGAAGTACTTACCAACAACATGTATGTTAAGCCACAGAGGAGTGTAGCGGTGAGAGCTGTGCACCGTGTGGAGGGGAGTGATCCGTTCCCACGCACACAGACGTGAGGACGGGGTTCTCAGACTGGCTGAGATATGAGCTGGGCCACGCATGGGGTTCCGTCAGTCCCCTCTTTGGTGTTCTGTCTGCCCCATCCCTGCCACACGTTCATTTTCTTCCTCTTTTGTGCTTGGGGTCTGTTAGGCTCAGAGTCTCAAAATTACTTCCTTTGCTGAAACTGAAGTATTTACTCTCGATTTAAAAGGAAATCCTAACTTGGTTCCTCAGCACAAATGCTGATTTCCTTATTTCTTCCCCCCACTCTCTATGGGGAGAGGGACCGGTTATAAATTCATTGTAGTGCTTTAGCTAACTTTAGGAATGGCTGGGAATTTTCTCCCTCATTTCTGTTTTTGTTGGTCATATGGCAGATGAGAAATTGTTTTGCAAAGTTAAAAAGCACAGTTCTAACATAAGAAGTAGCTGTAAATATCAGAGTTGAAGAAATCTGCATCTACATCACACTGCTGTTTTGGTAAATCCCCTTTAATTAAGAGGAAAAATGAACAGTTCTTTTATATGTCTTGTGTTGCAGTAAATTGGCTGGATCACAGCCGAACATTCAGAGAACAAGGAGTGGATGAAAACGAAACGTTGCTGCTTAGACGGAAGTTCTTTTACTCTGATCAGAATGTAGATTCGAGAGACCCTGTGCAGCTGAACTTGCTTTATGTTCAGGTACAGTATTAACTGCTCAGACACCGAGGTGGTCGAGATTTCAGGAAGCTCCTGGCTGTACCTTGAGGAGAGCTGGAGCATAGCGCTGGCTTCTGTCCCATGTACGGCGTTCAGTTTCCGGTGGGCACTGCACGTGGACTCCTCACTTGTTTCGTTGTGGTGCAGGTTGGTCTTCATTGCGAACCACTGGTTGTCCAGTGTAGGGCCTCTCTGTGGCTTCCCAGATTGGGACCTCGTGGCCAGCTCCGTCCCTCTCTGACTGGCTTTGAGAGACAATTGTATTTCATTTAACCCACTCACCATTTCAGATGCACTAAAGCTTTCTGAGCATCTTAGAATACAAGAGAATATCGGTCAGAAAATCAATACTTCTCATTAACTGGAAGATAGCCTCTCAATAACTTTTCTGTCTTTACCGTTAACTAATTGTTTATACTCAGAGAAGATATTTCACATATTTGAGTTGCAGTTTCCCAGTATGTAAGATGTGGGCTTAGCACTGGATTGTCCCTGCGGTTTCTTTTGGCTCGAGGAAAACATCATCCATCTTTCTCCTGCTTTCTCTTCCCCCCCACCAAACTTCCTTTCATTCTTTCCTTCCCTCCTTCCCTTTCCTCTCCTTCCATTTTTCTATCTATCTGCCATAGAAATAATGCAGGGATTGACAAACTGTAGCCATGCCCTCTGCCTGTGTTTGTAAATAAAGTTTTATTAGCATACAACTCGTTCATTTAAGTATTACATACTGCTAAATCCCTTTATGTGTACATAACTGTGTGTGTATTTTCTGTAGCTGCTCTCACATTCCAGTGGCAGAGTTCAGTAGTTGTGACAGAGGCCGTATGGCCCATAAGGCCTGAAATATTTACTATTTAGCCTTTTAGAGGAGAAGTTTGCTGACCCTTAAGTTAGTGGATGGAAGGATGGCATGGAAGGGGGTCTGAGAAGATGGGCTGGAAGGCCAGGAGGGAACTAGCAGAGAGATGAGAAGATGCTTGTTGGTTTAAGGCTCAGAGTGATAGTTAAAAGTGTCCATCCTAGTGTCTGAGGGGTCATTTAACTAGAGAAAGGAAAGGGAGAAAGGGAAAAACAGCAACAGTAGTGGCGATGGATCGAGAACTAGGAGAAGAACTTCAGGCACACGAGCTCCCTGTTGCTTGTCATTTCCCCTGAATGTCTTGAGCCTTGAATTCTTGTCTGTGTATGCATCTGTCTCCATCTTTCTCTCCTCCTCTCCTTATGTTACATTGGTCTTTCTCTTGGCATGGAGATTGGGTTGATTTCACTTCTAGGTGTTCTTCTTGCTGGCTTTATGATTTAGGGTCACAAAAAGTAAATCGTATTTCTGATTTGGCCTCTCTGAATCTGATCATTTCACAAGATTTTCCTTTGCCTCTTTATTTTTCATAATCACGCTGCCTTCCTGGATTATCATCAAGCTGTACTTGGAATGCACCTGACACCTCTAATGCTTTCCATCCACAGGCCATTCGGGGCAAAGACTTGTTTTCCTCTCACCTAATTCTGCTGTGTTGCAATCACCCTCAGCGTCGTGCACGTGTCACTGTGGGTTGGCTGGCACCTTCCCTGCCCCACAGAGAGCGGAGTGTGTCAGTGGAGAGACGGTGTCGCTGCTCCAGGCCTGATGCTCTTCCTTCTGCTTGTGTTGCAGGCTCGGGACGACATCCTGAATGGCTCTCACCCTGTCTCCTTCGAGAAAGCTTGTGAGTTTGGTGGATTTCAAGCCCAGATACAGTTCGGACCTCATGTGGAACATAAACACAAACCTGGATTCTTAGAGTAAATGACCCTTTGTTGTTCTTTTTTCTCTTTTCTTCTCCTGTTCTTTTCACGTGTTTATTTTTGAGCTAGATATCCAAAATACACACCCTGATTTCAATCAAGGGTGAGAATGTTAGCTTTTTCTCAGTTGAATGTATGACCAAATTTGTGGACCTTGGGGAAAGGAAGAGAAACTCAGAAATTTCTCCCATTGGATAGAAATTCAATGTTGAGATGGCTGTAAAGGTCATCCGTTCCAGGGTCAGACAATGTATGGTTTCCTCTGTACCAGAGAGTCTACTGCACCCTCCAGGCCGTTGTCTGGCCTGTGCTAGGACGTCTGTAGAGTTGAGGAACTCACTTCCTCCGTCTTCTATAACCTCCGCCCATTAGAACATTCCTTCTTTATATCAGAACACATTTTGTCATCTTTAACTTCTTTGTGTCTCTGTATTAGAACAGCAGAATGTAAGATTCACACTCTTTACTACAATCTTAAGAATTCTTCATTGCTTTTAATGTGTGATGTACGTGTGAAATACTTGCTCTGTTCTTTCCACCCATTTGGCCTTTGGGTCTCTTATAAAATGATTGTGTGTTTTCTGGCTCCAGACTTTAAGATTCAGGAGAAGGCTAACCCTGCAGGTTCATCACGGCCCCACAGGACGCCGCTTTAGGTTTGGGTTTCCTGGAAATGCCCAGCACATCCATTGCGGCCATGCACAGGCTGCTGTTTGAGGATGCTCTACCCTCTGTTTCAATCTGGATTTTTCCAAGGGTCTTGTCTATTTCTTCCTCTGGCAATATTCCTTTTCTTTATCTGTATTCCCTCCACCTCTTTTTTTGTTTTTCCTTTCTACTTTCTCTTAGCGCAGATAAAACATTTGCATAAGCCATAAAAATCACTCCAGAGTGGTCAATATCATGCTGTCACCTAGAGTCAAACTTTTAGGAGGTTTGGAAGTGGGGACATGGTGTGAAGGCCAACTTGGGAGTGGGAGGACACGAGCTTTGCTGGAGGATGTGACAGCGTGAGGTGTGTTGAGTAGGTCATCCATCGTATCGTGTCCATGTGTATTGAGGGGAGAGGATAACACAAAGGCTTACTTGGCCCTTGACCCCACTCTCACCTTGGTGGAAAATAACTGGGATCAGCGTATGCCCTTGAGTAAAAAGAAAACCTGACTTTTCTGCTGGTGGCGGAGAATGCCTGGCCAATATGCTGTTTGGTATAAATTGAGTTCTCACCAGAAAAACCCCAAAACTTCTACCCTTGAGTTGGTGACTCCCCGGGAGCCTTTCCAAGGTGGTGCTTTGCTCTACAATATGCCATATGGTGACCTTGAGTCTGAGAATGGCTCTGAGCAGTTCCTGTCACTTACTTTGTTCCATATTCTCCAAACGAGTCACATGGGCAAGTGTTCCTCAGGGCCCATTTCTACCTAGCTATTCCGGCTTCCTCTGCAGGAGTCTTGGGAAGCTCAGACACTTTTCCAAAAACCACAGGCACATGTTCTTTTAGGAGTTTCTACATTCCCGCATTCTAACCTCACAGCTGGTCCCTCAGATACATTTGATGTCATAAACCTGAGGATCTTGGCCATGGATATTGATAAATAAACACCAAGAACTAGTTAGGCCTTGGAGGCAACAGCATTTCTATCTTTTTCTAGACTGACTGATGAAGAGTAGGAAAAAATGGATGGAAAATGGATGAGCCAAAAAAAATTGAAATGTTTATCCTTAGGCTTTCATAGCTATAAACCTTTGTGGCCCTGGTGGGAAGGAGATCCAATGTAACCATTGATTGGGTGCCTAACCAGGTGATGATACTACCCTGGTCATGTCATTTCATTACGGCTCTGGGGCAACTAATTCTCAGGGCCCCCTTGTGAACTAGGAAAGTGGTGTTTTATGTGACAGATGTGGAAGAAGCAGCACAGGGAGGAGATGTGGCTTGTCCACAGTTCCTCAAAGAGTTTTCTGCAAATAGCTTCCTACTTCTAACACTGGGCTCTCATTTTCAGAGACATTTCTACTTCGGTGAAAGGCAACATTGCCCTTTTCACTGGTCTCCCAGTATGCAGCAAAAGTAGGGAGGTATTTAAAAATGTGATTACAAAGGTCATTTGGTCTCTTTCCATGTGTTATTGGTTATACCAACCAAATCGTGGTGAATGTTATGACGTGGCTGACTGCGTGTGTTGAGATTACAAACTCGTATCAGAGCACTGGTATCGGTCTTAACAATGTGGACTGCAATTTATGGTTCTATTGGATAATGCATACTCACATTCCAATAAAAATGTTTTTCTCTTAATAATCTGATATTGCAAAAGTTTACCAGTTGTATTGAATCAGTTTTCCTTTTTCTAATATGAAGCTCATGCCTCCAGTGATACGTGCACCCTTGCTCAGATTCCAAATTAAAATAAGCTTGTTTTGCCTGGTGGCAGTTATTTTTCCTTATGAATTTGATTTACTTTTTAATTAGACCAAAGCTAGTCTAGGTAATGAGGCATTTTCACTCAATGTAGACATTTAATTGTGTATCTTATTGCTCATACCATACAGGTAAAATTTCCTGAGGACATAAGTCCCCCTCTTAATTAAAACAAAACAGCAAGGCCACATTTCCCTGATTTGTGAGCTGGATAGTCAGGTTCTATTTTCTGCTGGACTGTCCCTGTAGACTAGCAGGACTCTGTTTTGCAGCCTCTATATCTTTCCCCATTGAGCTTTCATATGTGCTATCTGCTTGAATAATTCATGGATTAAAAAAAAATAATGAGAAAATTGGACTTTTGACAGAGCCAGGTTGAAGATACAGCCACCAGAAATTTCAATTGCATAGTTTCTGAATGAGGTACCTAGGGGTGTGTTTAACAGGTACATGTCTTTTAATTTTTTGAAAGTTTGCTTAGCATTTTTGCTCAAAGTTAGCATAACATGGACATTTTTATGAGATTCTCTTTCAGCTGTCTTCAGACTCTTCCATGATTTCTGGATTCAATACCACCTTAGTGAAGGTACTCACTTAGAATAATGAAAATCAGAGAATAAGGGATTTTCAGAGATTTAAGGATTATTTACTATATCCCATCAACTCTGTAGATGGGGAAAATAGGTGCTAGAGAGAGATAGATGCAGCACAGAACTGTCAAGAGCTAGAAGCCAGATGAAAGCTAGGTCTTCCAAATTGAGTCTAATATGTTTTTACCTACATGACGGTTTTCCTCGAATCAACTTGCCCCAGAAAGGGACATTTTATTAGTACATGAAATAAAAACAACATATCTAGAATTCAAGTATTTGGTTTATGCTCTTCTGTGTTTCAAAAGTGCTTGCAGAAAACATATCTTATATTCTTTAACTCACTGAGGACGTGCACCTGTGTTCTACTGTGCCAGGTATAGGGAAGATACAAGAGAAATATTACATACTAATTCCTTGCTGTCTATGTGGTAAATATACATGTGAAATGGTTATTATGGAGAGTAAACACTTGGCTCTGATGATTTCAACAGAGTCCAACTCTTGGAAGGCAGCTATGCCTACCACTATGCCACCAACGCAGGAGTCCAACTCTTAACTGTGCCTTAAATGCAGGATGGTGTATGTAGGAAGTCAAAAGTTGCAGTGCAGGTTCTGGGGACTAGTAGGGATTGTTTCTAGAAGGCTGGAAAGAGTGTGGTACAAGAAGCAATGTCGATCAAAGAAATTGACAAAATGCAAGGTAAATCTAAAGAAGAATTAACTCTGAAGACAGCAACAACAAAATAAATTATAATAATGACTAATTTCAAGACCCTTAGAAACATCTTAGAAAACTTTAAGAAGTTGATCAGAGTAAAAACTTTCTGTAGACTGTATTGTATTGGAGAAAATTAGAGTTACTGATAAACGTTCGACCTTGATTAAGTATATGCAGTAAAATTGGAGGTAACTCTTTTCATAATAAAATTGTTGGGAAAAATATTGAAAGTAGCCTAAGGGAATAGAAATAGACTATATTTGGAAACAATGAAAGAAACAGACTTTACAAGTTCGTTAATAAAATTTTAATTACTGGTCAAAGCAAAAAAAAACAGACTGTGTAACTTCCAAACCAGTAGGGCAATGGGGACACAGGAGAAATGCAGACAACTTGAATTTTAACAACAGGACTTGTGCAGGGTGGATTATGGAAACACAGTGAGAAAAATATGGTCAATAGAACGCATAAAATAAATATGATATGATGAATACTTCTAAATATATTAGGCATCATACCAAATATAAGTAAATCAAACTCAGTACTTAATAGAGGTTCTCATATTGGATAGAAGTTTTTAAAAGTTCGGGTCTGTACGATTTCTAAAAGGCACACTTAAAATTTAAGGACAAAGAAAAGTTTAAATGCATGGAAAATGATGTGCCAGGAAATTACTAGTTAAATCTAATGTCACACCAAATAGAGTTTAAGGCAAACAAAGCATAAGTAGAGATAAAGATCACTATAAAGATAGAAGGACTAATTCACCAGGATGTTAGATAATTGTGACTGTATATGTATCTAACATTGCCTTAAATGTATTTAAAGGAAAAATAAACTGTATTACAAAAATTTCAGATACATAATTTTAGTGGAATAATTTAACATACCTCCCTCAGTGAATGACTAGTAGAACAAGATCAAAATAGAAGAAAAAATGATTAAGAGAAAGTAAAAATAGAAACCACAGAGAATCACTAAAACCAAAGGCTGGTTCTTTGAAAAAAATTAATAAACTTAGGTAAATAGTTTTTGGATAGATTTGATCAAGAAAAACCAAAGAAAAAGGCCAAAATGTTGGTAATGAAAATGGAGCAGAATTATAGGTAGAGATTTGTAAAAGCATAGCAAAACTTAAAACCAAAAAAATTTAGACAAAATGGACAATTAGAAAATCTGAGTAGACCTATAAACTTGAAAAGAAATTGACTTATCAGTTTAAAATATACCAATCAAAAAACAACAAAATAAAAACTAGGCCCAG